GGGTGGAGGGAGGAGGGGAGGTTAATGAGGGGGGGGGGGGGGGGGTATGTGTGTGTGCGTATCTGCGTGCCTGGCTGCGTGTGGGAAGGGGGAGCGGCGGGCTGTGTCGCTGTGTCGCTGTGGCGCTCTTGCGCTGTGGCGTTGCGGGCTGCGTGTCGCAAAAAAGGTGGCAGGCAGGAGGGGGGAGGGTGGAGGAGGGGGGAGGGGGTAGTGTGGGAGTTGGGAGGGGGCTGTGGTGACGGGGAGTGATATGGAGGAAGACGAAAGGGGGTACTCACTCTGGTGGGAATTGTGGCTCTGTGCGGTGGAGAATAGGCGCGTGCGGAGTGGTGGCAGCGGCGGTAGACACGGAGGACGGCTCGCAGGTGGCGGTGAAGAAGATGCGTAATCTGTTCGGTCATCCTATTGACGCCAAGCGTGCGTTGCGTGAGCTCAAGATCCACGCGCAGCTCTCACACCCAACGTGCTCTCTGTCCTCGACATCAACAGGATTGCGCCCGAGGAGGCCGACTCGTTCGAGCAGCTGTATCTGGCGACGGAGAAGATGGACACCGATCTGCATCGCATCATCCAGTCGCCGCAGGAGCTGACCGACCAGCACTACGCCTTTTTCATGTACCAGCTCCTCTGCGGGCTCAAGTACATCCACTCGGCAGGCGTCATCCACAGAGACCTCAAGCCTGCGAACCTGCTTGTGGACGCGCAGGCGACGCTCAAGATCTGCGACTTTGGCCTCGCCCGCATCACCCGCGACAACGAGGACGCCTTTGCACCGCAGATGACGGCGTACGTGGTGACGCGCTGGTACCGCGCGCCCGAGGTCATCCTCGACCACACCGCGTACGGGACCAAGGTCGACCTCTGGGCCGCCGGCCTCATTCTTGCAGAACTGCTTGCCGGCCGGCCCTTCCTTAAGGGCCGCAACGAGATGGACCAGATCAAGCTCATCCTCAACTTTAACGGCCCGCCCAAGCCCGAGACCGTCGCCCGCATCTCCAACCGCCGCGCCCGCACCTTTGTCGAGAACTACACCTTCCCAGCCGGCTCGCCGCGCCCGCTCGCAGAGTACTTCCCCAAGGCCTCAGAGTCGGCGCTCGACCTCCTCGGCAAGCTCCTCGCCTTTGACCCGCGCGATCGCATCTCGGCCGCCGAAGCCCTCGAGCACCCGTTCCTTGCCGAGTACCGCGACGCCGAGTTTGAGACTGAGGCCGAGTCGACCTTTACCGAGTTTGACTTTGAGCGCGCTCCACTCACAATCCCCACCATCCGCCGACTCATCTACAACGAGATGCTGCGGTTCCATCCCGATCTTGGCGAGTACGATGCCACCGGCGACCTACCGCTGACCGACGACGAGCGCGCCGCCGTCGCCGCCATGGACGCCGGCGATAGCGCCGCTGATCTGGAGGCCATGCTTGAGAGCGATGGCGACGAGTAAAGTCGATGCCATGCCCGGCGTGCCGTGATTGCAATGCGACGGAGGGAGAGATGAGTGCCGAGCAGCGATCACAGATACTTTGCCGGCAGCACCCTTCGCCGCCCCCCTCCCTAGCCATCATCACAAGAAAGTGAGCTTGATGACCATCGATTTTGGCAACTGCCGACATGTGTGCGTGTGGGTGTCTGCATGTGCATGATGACCGGCAGATTGCACAGTGGATTGGAGACGGTAGGCCAACGCGCGCTTGTGATGTACGCCGTGGCGAAGTGAGGCGGTTGATGGCGAGTGCGGATGGCGTCAGCAGTTTCGCCACCACTAAATGCACCTGTGGGAAGAACAGGGAGGGGGGGGGCGGTGGGGAGGCAGCACACGACTTGAACACGGTACGGGAGGGTGTGCATGCAGGGGATGTAGGCAGGGATGGGGGGTAGGAGATGGGGGGGGGGGATGGGG